AGCCCAGAGGTTGTTTCAGGGTTTAATCTGTAAGTTAGCCATGCCCTGACTTAGATCATCCCCGAGGTGGTTCCAGGGTTCATGAGTTAGCTATGACCTGGCTTAGATCAGCCAAGAGGTTGTGTCGGGGTTTAATCTGTGAGTTAGCCATGCCCTGACTTAGATCATCCCCGAGGTTGTTTCAGGGTTCGATCTGTGAGTTAGCCATGCCCTGACTTAGATCAGCCAAGAGGTTGTTTCAGGGTTCTATCTGTGAGTCAGCCATGCCCTGACTTAGATCAGCCAAAGTTCGATAACATCTAAATGCTTTTTACCTCAAGGTTAGCGCGAAGGAATCCCATGCTTTTACGTCTCTTTCTCCAGGCGATCAGCACAATGACTGCGATGATAACCAAAACAAGTATTGGCACTACTATGATAAGGGCTAGCTCGGCACTTGTAAGACCTGCAATGATAAGAATGACGTCATTAATGATGACGACGATCTTTAGGGCAAGATATATCACGTGACAATAGACCGATCCCGGCTATGCTTCAGTGTCCATCCAAACAATGGGTAGTTTCCCCAATGGAATACAAACCGACCAACAAACTCCAATTCATAAGATTTTTTCAGTAGTTATTAAGTTTTTACTTAATGTACCATTAGAATGTATTATTGACAATTTTCAGCAATCGGTGTCTGTTCCATTCTGTATATATCAAACGTAGCAACAGTAACTAGAAAGGTAGAACAATGAATGCAGAATCGGTGGATTATATAATGCGCAAGCCAAATGATCAGCAAAACATCTTCCCGGAGGGGGGTTGTTAGTAATGCCTAAGCCTCAATCAAGTCATCCAGTCATCGTTTTATTGTCACGTGATATTGTCACATGCGGTAGCGAGGATGAGAAGATGTCAGGCGTTTATAAGTAAACTTATTTGCTTAATCATTTGGATATGATAAGGGTGTCACGCAACAATGTGCGGTCACTTCAAAGTTTGGAGATGACTTCGAGACACGTGGTTTCAAAGTCGTGATTTTCGTGCGTCACGCATATATGCAGGATTTACTAAATTATCCAAATATGATAAAGCCGTCAATGGCACGTCATACAATTGTCATKTTCAATCATTTAGATATGAAATATGAGATATCAAATATGAGTTGTCACACAACAAATCTTTCAGTGTTGTTACATCAATGTCGTAACGCAATAGGCCTTTTGCAACAACAGGTCACGTGACCCTACCCCCCGTAAAAAGAGACGTTGTGTCAAAATGAACACCAGCTTGCCCTCCAGGACATTTCCCCATACAAATCCTTATAAAATATATTCCATTTGGTATTTAATGCCATTTCTCCTGTGTTACATGTCATAAGCTGAAACTTTGGCTTCTTACTAATTTCGAGGTGCTCTGTCCAATTCTTTTGTTCATTTTGACACAACGTCCATTTTTACGGGGGGTAGGGTCACGTGACCTGTTGTTGCAAAAGGCCTATTATAAATTCCTTAATCATTTAGACAAAGATGTCACGCAACACAGCTTTGAGTGTTGTTACATCGAGGTCGTAACGCAATTACAAATTCCTTAATCATTTAGATAAAGATGTCGCGCAACACACCGTTGAGTGTTGTTACTTCAACGCCCTCACTTGGTGCACTGTGTCCATATTTATTCTTAGACTTCATTCTTATCAAATAACTTGTTCCGGAGTCCAGCCCGTCGAGTCTGTGATCTTGTCCATGGACAGTAGCATATGACATCCAGTTTCTTTTGTCGCCAAATTTCTTGTATTGAATCAAGTAGCTCGACACGGCAAACATATGGTGAAGCTCGGGAGGGTCCCAGTCTAGATGTACTGAGCCGTGCTTGATATCACTGGCTTGGAGTTCCTGTGGTGGAGGTGGCTTTTCTAGAAGCACAAAAATAATATTGGGAATGCCTAAGGATTGTGTAGAGTTACGTGAAGAAGAGAATAGAGAACAGCACAGCACAGTGAAGAAGAGAGTAGAGAACAGCACAGCACAGCACAGCACAGCACAGCACAGCACAGC